TTCATTGCTTCCATTTCTTCTCTCTTCATTCAGTAATTCTCTCTTGTTGGTCGCGGTAAGTTTGTGATGATTTCCGACCAATGTCCCAGTGGCTGCACAGCATTATGCCAGATAGATTTGTTCACTGACCTGTGATGTCCAGCACAATAAAGTAGTCGACTTCACATACACGGTTAAGACTTCTCAAGGAACAGATAGTTGCCATCTTAGAAGAGCTAAAACCACGTCAGTTGAAGGTGGTTCTTGAAATGGGTAGATAGATGTAGTCAAGTTGAATGTAAAATCTGTACACTTCACTGCGGCCATGCGGTTACTTTATGTAATACGCCTTTGGAATGACTTTGAAGCCTATACCACCATGTATAGGACCAGTTAGATCTCCGTACGAAGAATGGAAGGGAAATGAGAAATAAATGTGCAATTATATCACTACTTGCACATTTAATGGCTTTTATACGAATAACGGTAGAGTAGTCTGGTTTAAGCCATAGCTGGTGAGGAAATAATCCATATTCTCAAAAATGTTGTTTTGGGATTGGAATTCTCGCCGGCCGATAGAAGGATAGAAAAAAGTGATACAAACATAAGTCATAAACATCATATTAAAAATTGTTCACTAAACATGGTGAGGCTGGCCGTGCACCAAAGACATAACATATTGACTTGATGTAATTCAGGGAATAATAATGCAGAAACAGGGGGAAGGAGAGGTAATCATAAGGATGCGAGCTCCTCCGACAGTAATCGGATGGGCTGAATGTCGCACGGAAAAAAAGAGAACGGCCTTGATAAGTTCATGAATGTGCTGACAAGTATTCCCGGAACCGAATCGATCAAAAACTCAGGGTAATGACAAAATTCACATATATTGGGGAAGTGGCCAGCAAAGAAATCGAAAGGTGAAGTTGGAATCAGAGTTGTGCAGGGGCTGAAACGCATCAACGGTTTTTCCGTCCAGTGGGGGAGCTGTGATAAGCTTATAAACTTAAAAATCACCGCAAACTCTTGGTCATGCTGGCAGAGGAACCACCGTTTCTTGTGATGATTGAAAATAAACAGCTTGCTGAAGTTAACTGTTTGAGAATAGATAACTAAGAAAATTTCCGGTTGTTTAATGACCTTCGTTACAAATATCTGTTGCAATCGTGTTGTGAAGGGGGTGTTGTAAATTTTTAGCGTAGCCAGTAACCTTAACTACATCTCCTGTCGAAACCGCATGCCTTCAGATTCCACATTTTGCTCTCGAAGTAGAAGTTCATTAGCGTCACGCAGTGACCAGGTGGCTGGGTGATATATTCTCCCAACTGTATATTGAACTGCGACGCAAGGCAGCTGGATATGCTGGCAAAGGTCTAGGCAAGAGCAGTACAGATGCATCAAAGTTATTCGCAGATGATGTAGATTTCAAAAGTTCAATGAAGAAAAAATAATTATTCATAGGGCTATCACAAATTAATTATCATCTTCTAACATAGAGAGCAATCTAGACACCAGAACATGAGAAGGATGTAGAAGATGGAAGAGCGACAAAAGTAGCATTTAATCAAGTTATTGCTATTTTGTCAAAGGCCACAAATAAGCGTCTAAGAGATATATATGTCATAATTAGCGTAATCCAGTTGCGTCCCGCTGGTTGTGAGGCGAAGTTTGGCACACAGAGGTCGTAGGGGAGAAAATACGCCATAATCACGGTACAACGACCTGAAAATAGTTGTGCTGCGCGGATGGAGTGAAAGTGAACGCGTACGCATTTGGTGGATCAAGTTGGGTCAACCTGCAAAATACATAATGGCGATATACATTAATATGAGAGACTGTATGTTGAAAGGCATTTGCGGATGTGGATATGAATATAGCGTACATACCACACAATTTGGGCCGGTCACCAATAGTCGCCAGTTATCTACCTCACATGTTCCCCAATTCTGCTTCCGTTTCTCTTTTCACCTGCTCCAAGCTTGCAGTCCTGATCTTGCGATCCACCACCAGTGACGAACCATTCAAGGGCTGAAATCTGCCATCTGGTAACCTTTTCTTGACGCAAAAACTGATTCCAACCTTGCCAACCTCCTTAAGTCAACAAAGCTATCACTACTGATATTGGCTCGCCTGCCCTCCGGTTTGTAGAAGCGAAACTCGAGTCAATGGAATACCATCTTTCGGTGAGGGAGGTCACATAGCCAGCGCCGTCCTTGGTCTCAGTGTTGCAAGTTATCCCCACGTCTTTGAACGGGTTTTCATTTGTCGTGGTTCCTGAACAAGTGACTCGCAGAACAAATCCAACTGAACCAGGTAACCAGACGATGTTATTGTCCGGGCCATTATATTTCGACAGGCTCAATGAATAAGTCGGCGCCGTTGGAAGTTTGCGGCTTGGCACGAAAATGCCAGTTTCAACTTGTATGGTATGCAGGGCTTGGTTGCGAATCGAAATATGCAGGCGAGCAAGAGAGAGGTAAGGAGAAAAAAGCTGGGGTAAATGTTTGAAGCTGAAGTCGCTCTTTTACTTCGAAGTGGAAGTGGTAGATTGGAATAGGAGATGAGTTGAAGCTGGGAGTTCAATGAGCAACAAAAAGTGAAGCATTCATGGGAAGGGAATTGAGCTTTATATCCGCATCTCCGTTCCTAACAACATATTAAGCCTGGGTGGCTCCGTAGGATGCATAGAGATACTAAATTCATTCAAATTGGGGTGTATTGAAGTATTAGTCGAAAGAGTGTGAATAACCCGTCATTAATCCCAAGAACTAATGTTAAGCCTCAGACGTTTGCACACAAACAAAGTGGGGTTTGTTTCCTTGATAGGAGCCATTCTGCCATTCTGCGATACACACTCGTTGAAGGAAATTTCGCGAATATCCACTTCATAAGCTGGTCGAGTGGATTGTAAATATCACGCAGCTTCTGGTAGGCAATATATTAGCAAAGGAAACATAGAAACATCCAGAACGCAGGGAAAAGAAACAGCGATGTCCATATCTTTGAGGATAAACTTTAAAGGACATCGGGAGAAGCAATCGGCATAGAAGTAGCTGGTAGCAATTTATTAAGAGCAAAATAGATGTTGATTGGACAACTATATATTTCTCAACACATAGGGTCCGCAAGTGGGTGCTTGATAAGAATATTTACTTCCTCGGCATGCCTCCTTCAACATTTTGATAAATTCAATGTGAAAGTCAAGCGCTGTTTGTAGTGATATATCTTGACAAAGGCATAGGCGTCACCCATCCTTTCTCTTGAGGAACTCAAGATAGGACAAAGCCGTAGAGCGGGAGTTAATAACGTGGGGTGATGTATTTGGTTGACTCTACCAGCTGCTGGCGTATATCTCGATGTTTGTAGACCATCTCATAAAATATACTGTAGAAGTCGAACGTACACTATCTAAGTATCAATGTATGCCACCAAATTAATAGACGGACCATCATTTGTCGTCCGCGGTATGTAGGTAAGAAGATTGCTGATGGTTGGGAGACATAACAGGAGCTTGAAATGTTGACGGGGATAAGTTCGGGAGGACCCCAAGGTCGGTGTGCTGGAATGTAATCTCGCGTGCCCAGAGGATCTGCCGCTATCATCAAGTAATTACTCTCCAAGTTCTATCTCTTTGATTGTGGTATTTCCGCGTGAAAGCAGGATAAGAAGGTAATCAGTATTCTGGGGTAAATACATTCCCCGGAATAATATGTTCAGAAGTCGGTTATGCCAGGACAGACATCTTTCGGGTATGCAAATTGCCCTTAGTGTTTTTGCCATCCAGATAAGCTAGAAGTTTCTCAAAAGATCATGAGAATGCGGTGATGTGACGGAAAAATGCGTGGAACAGCTAAGCAGATAAAAAGCTGTGCGGCTATTAGCCGTGTTCAAGGTCAGTTTCTGGCAGTGAGTTTCACATTTCTTTGTCCTTTAAATAAGGTTCAGGAAGCGTGATTTTCTCCCTTTCCACAACCATGAAGTTTGCGTTCTGTACGTCCATTTATTTTGAAAGGCAATTCGAATATAATAGAATATCCATGTTTTCGATCGTTGTGCATCAGACGCTTGTTTAACCTTGGAGGAGGTTATGCGTTTGGTGCTTTCCTTGAGTTGTTTTGGTGATCTAGCGCTTCACAGGCTAGACAATATTGGGGGTAAGGGAATTACCCCGAATCCTATGGGTTGTCGCTGTCGTAATGGGCGGGACAGCACTTGATCAGGAGGTAGTCAGATCAACAGTTTGTTTCGGTTCAATTTCTTGTGCTGCAGCCAGGGAACATTTCCCAAAGTTGTAAACGTGAAGTTTAGAGTATTCCCTATGCCCGTCGCAAAATGCGCCCATGCACGTGTTTCCTGCTACATCAACAGGGAATTTCTGATACCTCATTCAGGATAACACGAATACGAGGCGAGGTGTGGAAGGCTCGCCAAGAAATTAAAACGAGGCCTGGATAACTATTGCGAAAATCGATGCTTCCATAATCAATAAAATTGATTCGGAGCAGACTTCCCTTACGTACTAGTATTCAAATTCGATATTGAACACGAGCTAATAGTCCGTGTTGTCCCTGACTTTGAGAGTTAGGTCAGTCCTAACCAGGTCTAGCACAGTATCACTGTTTCTCCATTCGCCTTTCCATTCTAATTATCGTACTGTCTCTCGATCAATCTCTATTTCATGCTACAAGATTAACCTCAACAATAGCTCTCATTGCTGTAGTTTTATTATGGGCATTCTGCCGGTCTTGCGATATCAAGTGCCACCGCAGCACTCTTAAACTCACATGTTAGGAATGGAAAGGAAAGGAAAAATGTGGCCGTGCAGTACTAGTACGAATCTTATGACGGCTATAGGTGAGTAGGCTCTGTCTGACGAAGAAGTGTGATAATAGCTATGAATTTAATAGGTTTGCGTCTGGTTGTGTGGAAGTCATGAGTTCTGAGGAGAGGATTAGATACAGTCATTGGGCTAACTCCAACGCCAATTAGGGAGCCGTATACCTTCCCGTTGGCGTCTTCCTTGTTGTCAATATATGCGAAATCTGAACGATATCGTCCTCACAATATCGAAATGATCTATATATTGCCCACGTTAGGCCATTCTCTCATAAGAAACGGTCTGCAATGAAAATCGTGAGCGGCATCGACATCTTGAACGTTCGGATGTTCACCCGCCATCTTTCCTGATTCAGCGGCAATAGCGCATATTGAAGGTGGATACTACGGCTACCCTAGATCACGTGCTCCCCAATCTTATTTAGTTGTTGCTCGGCTAGTTAGTTTTAATACAAAACAACGTTCATTCTATGACATATTGCCTGTATTGCCTGTATTGCCTGTGTCATCTTAGTCATCCATCGTCGTAACTCGTTAAAAACTCCTAGTTACCCGGAGCAACATCCGAAGCATTATACGCAGGAGTTATCACCCATCGCCCATCGCCCACTGCGCACCTACGCTTACCTTGCCTCTCCTTCACTGCCTGTCCCAGTGCTTCGCCTTGCGTTTGTCGCTTCAGTGTGTTGTGGGGTTTTTACTTAGCCCTTTCGCCGTAGAGCAGGTTATTAGTTTGGTAGGTCACAACTTTTCCCCGCCAGTTCTTCATGTTCGTCTTTGCATTATTTTTGTCCCACGGATTTGCGCATCTATTTGTTTAAGCCGCAGCTACTATAGATGAAAAAGGACTGGTTGGAGACGTTTTGGTAGAAGGAGCGAATTTCCCGCAATAGCACAATCGGGTCATGAGGTTTGGAAAATGTCCTCTATATCGCATTTTCGCGGAGTCCGGATGCGCTTCGTTTCCCATTCATCAAATGCTGTGATCTACTGGCCATTGAATTCATAGGCTCTCTTCCACAAGCACTCAATGGGCGCTGGGAACACTCTTACATTTCGCAGTCTGCCATGGACATCTCTGGATTTTCGTACCCTTCTCTATCGTGGATACTCCAGCAGAGATTAGTAAAGGACGTGGCACTGACTATCATGTGTAACAGCCGACCAATACTTCCTTTGCAATCTTTGACCAGCCCTATTGGCCCCGTATTCTATCAAGCCGCCTTGATTTCCAATCCTCCTATACCTATATCTCGGGTACGCAGCATGGACGTTAAAGAAATAGAATTCAAGTCTAAGGCATTGACGAAGGCTGCGACATCCGGAGAAACCCCAGCAACATTGATATCATTGCTTAGGGAGCTACAAAAAGGTGTGCGGCCGACAGAGGACCTCCTGCGCTCCACAAAAATCGGTATCATTGTCAACAAGCTCAAACAGCATAAGTCACCCGACGTTGCTCGTTTGTCTAGTGAAATCGTCTCGAAATGGCGTAGCGAAGTCAACAAACAAAAGGTCACTGTAGGTGGTTCACCAGCCGCAAGCCAGAGATCCAGCGATTCACCCAAGCAGACTCCCAACGGCACTGCGTCACCGGCATCAACGGGCGCTGCAGCGACAGATAGACTGGCCAAATCTACGGTTCCCCCAGACAAGCGCAGTTGGAAAACAGATCAGCTTACTATCACGCACACCCAAAATAAATCTCGCGATAGCTGCATCGGACTGATTTACGATGGTCTTTGCTTACATTCCACCGAGCCGCCGCGCGTCGTTCTCCAAAAGGCCATCCAAGTCGAATCAGCCGCCTACAATGCCTTCGGCCCAGAAACGAAGGAACAATATCGCACCAAGATGCGCAGTCTGTTCCAGAACTTGAAAAATAAATCCAACCCGGACCTCCGTGTGCGCGTGCTCTCCAACGAAATCACGCCAGACAAGTTTGTTCGCATGACGCATGACGAACTCAAATCTGACGCACAACGTGAAGAAGAACGCAGGATCCACAAGGAAAATATGGATAAAGCTATGGTTGCGAAGGCGGAACGGAGTATCAGTACAAGCTTGCAGTGCGGCAAGTGCGGACAGAAGAAGGTCACGTATACGGAAGCGCAAACGAGGAGTGCAGATGAGCCTATGACATTGTTTTGCACATGCGTTGTGTGTGGGAAGTCATGGCGTCAATAAGATGAAACCTCTTCTTGATTGGACACTTGGTTTTGGGCCAATCGCGCGTCCATTCCGCTCTACATTATTTATTTTTATTCTTGTGTTCTTTCTTCTTCCCGTTGTATTTATTTCCCCATTATTTCCCCTATCCTTCTACTTTTCCAACTTTGCTGCTATTACTCATCCAGGGGTGGCATTCAGTTTGCGTCTTCCACTTTCCTGTTCGCTATTAAAAGGATCTTGTGTTCATTTCCTTTCAGCACTTCTTTAAACGGGGTTGTCATGGTGAAGGATTTTTATTCTTGTACTATTTGGCGTTTCTTATTTATTAAACGGGCTGCTGATGAAAACACATCATATGTTTCCTTTTCTATTTTCTACCACCTTAAGTTTCCTTTGTGTTTTATTATGTTTCCATGATTTCTCTGGGGTGAATTCTTTCTAGTTATTTTCTCTACTTTTTGCCAGCTTTAGGATTTTTTTCTTCTTATTTTTTTTATTTTTATTTTTTTATTTTTTTTTTTAAAATTTTCATTTTTGTTCTCGTTACCTTCCTAGGTTCTCACCGTCGGACCTGCAATACGGACGCACTTAAGGAGGATAAGCATGGCTTTTTGCTGTTCTTGTCTGATAATAGAGTGGGATAATTTATGTGTTTCCTACTCGCTTACATTGCATTGTCGCTGGCCTGACCGACCTTGGTTCTGGGAAGTCATGCCTCTGGGGAATAAACCAAGCAAGAAGCCTCCCAGAGAGGCGTCTCTTGTTTGTGAGTGGGAGGGGGAGTAATAATAAGAATTTGTAATTCGTTTTTCGAATAATTGAGCAATTCCTACTCTATTTCTTTTTTAAAAAAACATTTTTTTTCTAGGTACATGATCAATCACAAACACAACCAAACGAACCAACTTGACCCAACCCTTCTGCCCAACATTGGGACACATCTCGGAGACTGATTTACGGTCCATTATCCATCAACTTCCCCTCCCCTCTTCCACTCCAAATGTATCCGGAAAGAACCCCGGCGGCGGCCAAATATCTGCGATCGACGGTGGTCGCATTATCGAGTTACGGAGCGGTTGCTTTCCCGTGCCCTCCCAATTTTCGTTCTCCTCTCTCGGATCACGGAGCTCCTTGGCATTGCCCTCTATGGAGCTGTCATCATTTTGTTGAGGAGGAGCGCATCTTCCCAGGCTTTTTCGTCGTCTGTGTCGACGATGAGGTGTTGGTGGGGACTCCTGCCGCTGTGAGTGAAGGTTATGAACGCCTTCTTGTCAGAAGTGGAGGTTTCGCTATTGCTTGGAGATGGGAGGTCATGGAAAATGGAGTCTATATCATTAGAGGCTGGGCCAGAAAGGGGAAAAGCTGGTTTGTGATTGAGGAACAGGGTTGGCGTGCTTTTTTGTTGTCCGTGTGTATGGCCATCGTTTACGGGCTCGGGATGGTGATTAGTCCTTTTTGGGTTGGCTTTGAACGCATGAGACATGTACGGGGATGGGGAAAGGCATATTTTTGCTCTTGCTCTTGCTCTTGCTCTTGGAAATCTCGGTGTTGTTGTTTGGATCTGCTGCATAGTAACACTGGGAGCTCCCAAATCTATCCAGATGTTATCAGAGGCCTGTGGTGAAGAGAGAAGGAAAGGTTCGCTACTGTTTCTGTAATCAGAGCCGCTAAAGTGTTCCACGGGTGTCTTTGGAACTAAAGGGAAGAACACATCCTCTTCGTTCACTGCTTGTACAGAGTCCGTGTCGTCCTGTGGAGGAGGCGCTAGCGAGTCGAGAATGCGATACACGTTCTCATTAGACGGACGCGAGAATTGCGTATATAGTGAAGCACTGCTTCTGCCTGAGGAGCCTGGATCCAGTAACGGAGAATGAAGAAAATGTCCATCCGACGTAAGCTGCTTCATATTCGCAACTAAAGAGGAATAAACTGGCCAGACTCCCCCCGCAAGCGATATTTGACTCGCAACTGACTCGAACCAGGAAGTATCCAGCTGACGTGATGGGTTTTGCAATCGTGCAGCGTCGGTGATTGTTCTTAAAGCAAATTCGAAAATCGGGGGAAGAAAGGCGTGGCTGAAATTTTCTGACTGCGAAGTCAAGAAAGACAATGTTATATCCATTATCTGACGAAGCGAATAAAGAAACCGTTGTCCATGAGGTAATAGACAGGTAGGAAGCCTAATCAGCGTTGCCGTCTGGGTCAAAGCAGAAAGTTCTGATGTGGCAGTAATGGTGGGCGTTCGCCCAAGAACACCTTGGTGCTAACATCAGACAACCGACACTGTTGCGGAAGCTTTTCTTCCCAGTGCTGAAGGCTCGTGAGGAAATATTCGTGCGCTATAGGAGCACTATCGTAGAGCATATGAGAGTTTCGAAAGCTCTATTAGCCGGTTAAAAGTACTGCAAGACCGGAGCGGTCCACGAGGGCAAGGATTTCCTCCATGAAGCTTGCAGAGAAGGAAGACATCCACCCAAGGGCTCCACTCTTCCAGTCCGTCTTCTTCCAATAAATCGACACCCTGTATGCTATGAGATCGCAAGCGTGGACACCTAGAGAGCCGAGCAGATAACAGAGTGTCGAGGAGAAAACATCCAAGAAATGTTTCTTCATGTTTGGTGTGGCTAGGGCGCTGTGTTTCTTTTGATCGAGCTCCAAGACCCAAATCGAAAATGCTTGCCGCCTGTCCACAAAGGTCCCATGCAGCTGTCCAATCTCCGAATCCAATATTTACAAGCGTTAATAGTAGGATAGCCTGAACATGACCAATTTCAAACTTCCCTTTCTCATCCGGTATCAGGCTTCTCGCAACTGCATAGAACTCTTTTGCTTCCTTCTGGGGGTTTTTCGTCAGGCCCATGGAATTGGAATCAGCTCCCGACGGAATCTGGGTAGCAGTATAACTTATAATTGCCCAAAGAACAGCATGATTTCCTGATCCAGTGAGATTTCTTTCCATTTGGAAAGACGGGCTTGAGTATTGGTAGGAGGCTTTGAGAACCACATGTTTTGCTAGAATCGGAAACCAGCTGTGCGTATATGCAGAGTACATATTGAGCAGGTGAGATGTTTGGGTAGGAAGTTCCATGCGAGCGTCACTTTTTGCAGCCTGGCTCATACAAGAAAGGTGAATTCTTTTCTCGTCCGTGCCAGGGGACAAGGGCGACGTGTATCGACTTCGAGTCAAAGCCCATGGAGAGAATTCACCAATTCCGGAGTCCGAGAAGTCGACAAGTTGAGGATCGGAAACAATGTTAGATACCGAATCTCCAAGTTCGATACCTCCCCCATCTTCTTCAGAACATGATGATCCAAAAGTGGCTGATCCTGGGCTCGACAATAATTCCTCAACATTCGCATACAATTCACTCGATTTCCATGTCCCGTGTAAGCTCTCTGACGCCCCTTCATTGTTCCATAATGCGACAAGCTTTTTTCTCCGAGGGGATTCTCCTTCTTTGAATCCCAACATTTCAAGTACTGCCCCCTCCAGGCCTTCAATATTGGACATTGATAAGGCCCAAAGCTTTTCCAGGCCACGGACGTAACCCTCTGGAAGACCCCTTTTCTTGGGGCTGGGGTCGAAGGAGCAATCATGGCCGCATTCTCGACATGCCAGACAGGCGGGGCGTAGTCCGTCACAACGATACTTCTTGCCTCGACATCGATCGCAGGCCTTCGATACTCGTTTGCGTTTGTTACCGGCATGTCGCGGTTCATGATCCATATGATCGAGCATTTTCCAGCCGGTTGCTTGTTTCTCAAATATGGGATATAGGAGATTGCATGTGCAATCAAACATCAAAATTGGAATTAGCGAGAAAAGAAGAAAGCAAAAACAAGAACTTCGCATCCAGCGCAGTGGTATTTGAGGCCTGGCTCCTGCTTAGCAAGTTACCCAGGCGGGCCTTATGATTACTCGTAACCTTGCTCTCCAACCACTTACCGTCTATGCTCCGGTGGCTTAGAAATTGCGAGAAATTGTCCATACCTTAAAGTGAGAGACAAGCTTTCGGGGAGATATCGACCTTGAAGCAGCATCATTGGGTTGGATACAGATTCGACGAAAAAAAAGGCCGGTTTTGGGACACGTCAGGTGTTGATATCGCCATTCTGGCTTGCGGCGTTTGGGTTCAAGCGGATGAATATGACCCCACGGCTAGCAGACTCGGCTGATGAAAGGCAAGCTACAACAATATGGTACGAAGGACAGGATTTTTCTTGCTTGTGGAGATTTCCAGCCAGTAAAATAATTGCGGGTTAACTCGCAGCCTGTGCTCAGTGAACCCTGTTGGAGGAGAATCGTTGGGGACTTGTCCTCCTCTCAAATCTCAAATCTTCTCAATTTCCTTTCCACCCAGCCTACGTATAGGAAACTGATAGTTATCCCGTGTTGTCATGAGGCAAATCATACAGGCCGAGCTCATTGTCACTGCAACCAGCCATGTGGACATTGCGAGCAAGGGAATACGGGAAATATTATCAAAAACAAGATCCAAATCCACAGGCTTTGATACTCGTACGTGAGCAACAAACTCCGTGCTCAAGCTCGCCCCGCCATTGCCGCAGTCCAGCCCACTGTCTTCGTTCGTGCACTGGAAAGGGATATCCATCCTTGTGACCAAAAATACGGTGTCTGGGCTGTTTCAAGCCGAAAACTTCAAGCCCAGTTCCAGGAACGGATTCGGCTGGTGGTAGACAAGTGCACCAGCAAGAATTATTTAGCGCAGAGAGGAGACTGTGCAGATATCTATCGATCAGCCAATGCCCAGCATCTTCGGAAGGACCTGAGCTTGCCAGATATTTTGTAGCCGAAAACGTTCTTTTTAACGCTCCGTAGCCAACTCCTTTCTCGCGGGTTATGTAGAATCGTACCAGACATGAGCGGCTTCCATGAAGATAGAACGAACCATGGAAGGTTTTACATCTCCGAAAGTTTATTTTCTAGTATCGACATAGTATTTTAGTCCCTTCATTGCAGCCTGAGATAATCCCCAATTCGGGAATCTATCCTTAGCAAGCGGCGGCTTATCAGACTAGCGGATTTCCCAGACCCTGCCAGCCAGCCAGCAAACCACAGGGAGAAAACAACACCTCAATGTTCAACCTACCTCTCCCTGTGCCTCTTCTTCTCTCCTCCCTTCCTCTAACACCTCTCAGAACCATGCATCCTTCTTCTTGAAATCGCCCTTTTGGATATCCAGACCGGTTGCTATACCGCTACTTCCACCGTCTTTCTTTGCCTGCCATGTATATCCCCGACCAGCCTCAAAATGACACCTTCGCCTGGGCAACGACTACCTCCGCATGTGAACAGCGAGGATGCCCCATATCAGATGCTGCAGGCATGAAAAAGAGAAAGCGAGATTCAACCAATTGGGATAACCAGGTCAATGCTAGTATGGGCAGTTGGTGGGTTTAGCATTTCCTTCAGCCTCTATCTTGTCCATCTATTTTTTTTTCCCTCGGCAACCAACGCTAACAATTTGGATCTCCCTACTCCCTATATCAAGCACCGCTTTCATCCCGGGCAACGCTCAGCATGTCGACGATAAATTTAGAAATGGATGCAGTCAGCTCTTGGGGGAATCGTCGTCAGGTTCAATAACTTCCAAATTTGTGCCCTGGCCCATCCCTGAACGGAGAACGCATCAATTCCGACCCTGCCTGCAACCGACGGCAATAAAACGGCGGCGTTTGATACAGCAACAGCAAAACCAGCAATCACAACAGGAATGGAGTACCATTCCAATAAGCATGTATGCAGGCCAGAAGCCGCAGCATCTCTACTCCACTGATCCCGGGAGCAGCCTGCCCTCACCCCCGACCATACCAAAGTCACCATCCTCTTCACTCCATAAATCGAAACCCAATACGCATCACAATAACGGCCCTTCGACATCGTCCTCACAGAACAAACCGTCATCCAACATTACTCTATTCCCCTGCCACATCTGCCATCGTCGCCCCACTACACGTTCCACCCTTGACGCCTATGCCGACTGCGACCTCTGTGCCGAGCGGACCTGTTACATCTGTCTACGAGAGTGTATGGCTGTCGATTGCAGCTACGCTCGCTCCCCTCCGAGCCCCTATTCAGGCCGAGGCAAGGAGAATAATAACAGCAATACTAGTAATACTATCAATGAGAATGACTGTCGAGGCAAAGGGTCCTGTTGGCGGGGCAAGACTGCGCTGCCAATTTCAAGGCCAGGACGTGGAGGGGAAGAAGAGAATGGCCCCAGGACGGGACGGAAGGTGTGTTCGTGGTGTGCAGTTGAGAGCGTCGTCGACGGTGGCGCGGAGGTTGTGAGGTGTTTTGCTTGTGTAGCCGGATGGTGACCTCGCGCTGGTTAATACGTTGCGTTTTGGTGGGCGTTTTGGAATGGATTGGACAGACATATGTTGTATGGGTATATATATATATTGTCTAAGTATGCTTATGGCTGACTTGTTTTTTGTCTGCCATATGCGAGAGATTGTGGGAGGGATGTTTAAATGCATGGATACCCCAATCTCTTTCATTTTCTTTAAACCTCTTCTCTCCGTTTCTTGTTTTAAAACACGTTGCTGCTATCGCTATCTTCTGGGCGACTTTGAGAGTGGCATACATTTTCTTCTTTTGTTTTTGTTTTATTTTTAATTCTTTTTTCTTTTTTATTTTTTTTTGTTTCTTTTCTTTTCTTGACAGATTGATTGAGGATCACGGAACAGAACATATTTTTAGTTTAGAAAATTCGTATGGGTTATTTACGTTGAGAAACCCCCTCTCAATCTTAGCTAGCGAACGGATATATATACAACAATAGTGTTTAGTTTTTGTATTCCATTATATTTAGGACATTGTTTTGGGTATTTACCCTTCCTGCCGTATACGAGTCGGACGCGTTTTTGTTGTTTAGCTAAAATCTCAGAAAGGGGGCCCTATCATCATGGTTCTTCTAGTGATTAATTAAGTAAATAAATAGATAACAAACAATGTCATTATTCATCTGCAGAGTCTCTAGAATATAAAACGGTATGTAAATAATGGAAATTGAGATAAACTTCTCAATTGGATGAGGCGTTCTGGACCAAGGAAAGTAGCATAACTATCAGAACCCGAATTGAATCTGTAAACTGACCAAGCGAATGGAATTTCTTCCTAAGGGATTCGTACTTCCGACTGAATATACCTGGGAGCCAATGCAGTTTTAATATGGACTAAAACGAGTTATATGCCACGAGGCAGAAATTGATGAAATAAGCGGTGCAAAAGCAAGGACATTGAATCCCAAGCGGAAAACAAAAATAAATACATAAAAAGAGACACAAACGGAAGGGGAAAATAGAGAACTATACAACGTTGCATAAAAGGGGGAAAGGAACGTACGCTACCCCCATTTACCTCCCAAACCTCATCTCTGCCCTCGCATACCTCCACAGCCCTTTAAGAAACTTTTGATACTCTACCGCCTCCCCACCCCCAGTAATCAAGCTGCCCTTATCTCCCGTACAATAGATCTCCGTCAGCCGCAACTGCCACGGCGGATACCCATCCAGACGCACAAACGGGCCAAACACCATCAACAAATCTGGATCAGACTTCATCAACACAGCCGTCGCGGCGTCCGCAGGCAACGACCGCGGCGAATCTGACACGGCAGTGCTGGACCCCGTGCCAGCTGAGGATGCGATGCTATTGCGTTCATCGAATAGCGGATCTCCAGGAGTGCCCCCCAGCGGCGGTGTAGGCGGGGACGTCAACTCGCTAATCTCAGCGTCGATGAGTTTCGGGCTTATATCTTGCGGTGACAGGTTACCATGCTGGGCCATCTCGGTCAGGGTCTTTGTGAGGTCGACTAGTGTCTCGCGCCCGTCTGTGGCGGAGAGGAGGAGGACGGTGAAGAGCGCGGGATTTGCTTTTGAGGAGGGTGGGCAGAGAGTTGGAGAGTAGAGGGCGTGGTGTGGGGCGAAGAGGCGGAGGGTTGGTTGGTGGGAAGGAGGCCCGTAGTACGTTGATAGTTTGCTTATGATTATTTTGTGAAGGGTTGGGATGTAGGATTTTAGGATGCCTGCATTGTACATAAGTTAGTTTTGGTTTATTTTAATTTTATTTTAATTTAATTTTGATGAAGTGTAAAAGGAGTTAGTGGTACGTAATATACCTGTCTTCTCATATATACTCAACATAGGTATACCAGCGCACGAGCTCCAGGCTACCAACTCCGCCACCTCGTCCATAATCACATCCAGCGCATCCTCATCCTTCCCCAGCATCAACACGACGCTCAGATGCTGCGGTAGCTGGCTCAGGCCACGGACATCTTTCTGTATGAGCTCGGGAGTGCGGTGATGGTAGTAAAGAATGGCCAGGATTCGATCAATGATGGCATGATAGCCTTGACGGAGCCGGATGTAGATGCTGAAAACAACGTGGATTAGAAAATAGGTGAGGTAGTGTAATGTCGACTTGAGGAATTCTCGGATAGGTTTCCTCCTCTGCTTCTGCTTTTTCTTCCCATGCCTGCTGCGGGCCGAACGGATGGTAGATGGATCTGGAAGGTAGGGTTTGAGGAGGGCTTCACGCTCGGCCGGAGTGAGCTTTGAGGTATCGACTCGCGAGTTCCGTATACGCGGGTCTGTGGGGAGAGCCATGAGATGGGGTGCGAATCGACGGGCAGCAGATGCGATCTGGCAAATATCTCTACATGGATCAACTCCAGCGATTTAGAGGTTGAAGGGTGGTTGCAGAAAAGAAATAATGAAACCAAGAGAATTACTATTCAAGGTCAGGATCCCATGGGTCCAAATATATAACGTCCTCAGATCAGAAGATATTAGCAGTGAGATTGGAGCAAAACGGTGATATCAAGCGCAAAATCTGCTATGAGGATGGGGCTGTGACGATAGGACGTTTGCGTCATTCCTCGGCTGAGCATCTGCGAGATCTGGCGAATACTAGTGGTATTTATATTTGTTATTGAGTTGCTTCTCGCGAGAGCAAAAGTGAAATAAAGCCCTGTTGCATATCCTGGTTATTTTGTTTGCTTTCCATGACCAAAAAATATTCAAAGAAGAAACTCTAAAAAAATAGAGGGTGTGGCAGTAGCAGCCTAGCGCGGACCGATATTCCAACTGCGACGCCTTGCTAGCTGTAACAACCACTTGAACTCCAACTCCAACTACTCCGTACACTCCAGCAACTATTATATTTCAGTACATCCTTCAGCAATGACTTACTACCAACGGACATATTTACGCTGACTACTCGAATATGACTAAATTACTTATATTTCCTCACGCCCTCCAATAATCGCGGCCCAACTAGGCTATCATAGGCTATCAACATGCCAGATACGGCCTCCTTAAATTCGCAAAGCGCACGCTCCACTGCCACTAGATCCATCTTCAACAAAGGCCCTACCTTCACTCTCGAAGCCTTCTCTAACCGCGACTTCATTGTCAAAGATTTCATCGAGTCCCTTTCAGACTCTGTCATCCCGGCCTCCCAGCGCCGGTCAGGCGGACCTAGCAGCAATCAACCCTTCGACCCGAAACCCCTTATTCGTACCTTTGAACATGCCCAGCGTCGTATGGTCGAGTTGTCTGGCGACCTGGAGCTACGGGAAAATGAACTGTCCGCCGCTGTGAGAAGGGCAGAGGCCCAGCATGCGCAAAATGTTACTTCGCTTGGCTTCAAATTAAGCCAGACCATCGAGTCGTTTCAGAAGTTGGATACATCCCTGAATGGGCCAGGCGGAGGAGGCGGTGGCAATATTGCTGTTGAAACAGGAAAGAAGCTAGAGGATCTCGATCGTCAGAGACGGAGGGCCTTGGATGCCCATTTCCTTATCGAATGTTGGGATGAAGTTAGCAACCGTGGGGAATTATCCCTCTTGGAAAATTTGAGACGATCAGGAAGCGGTGAGGGAAAGGTTAGGTGTGCGCATATTGCAAGACAGCTGCTCAGAATAAGCAGGAGATTGGATCCCAAAAGCTGGAGTGAGGAAAATGGCAGTGTCGGGATGAATGGAACATCAATGAACGCCTCCTCTCCTGCGAAGCGCATAAATACAAGGGAGATTATAGAAAAGTTCTCAGAGACATTGGAGAAAGATCTGCTGAAGCAGTTTGATGACTTCTATCGGAAAGCGAATTTTGATGGGATGCGGGACTGTGCAGCTGTGTTATACGATTTCAATGGCGGCGCCAGCGTGGTTGGATTATTCGTTAATCAGCACCAGTTCTTTATTGACCGCAGCCAGCTCATTACCGAGGAGATTGGAAGAGATGCGGAAACGTGGGAAATGCTGGCTGACCCTGACGCTGACCCACCAGTTGTTGAGCATAGCCTTCAGTCTCTGGTGGACGAGGTCAAGGTTGTGGTTCAGGAGGAGTCTACAATTATTAAACGCGCGTTTCCGTATTACGAGCAGGTTCTCGAGAAGTTTTTGCAGAGGATTTTCCAACAATCCATACAGCAGCGACTAGAAATGGTATTAGATAAGGCTAATAGTGTGTCGTCGTTAGCGTTCTTGAGGTCTCTCCAAACCGCCCGGAGTTATATCAGCAGCTTGATCGATGATATGAAGTCCCATGGCCTAACAGAACACCCCGAAACCATATCTGTCAAGACTGCCATTATCCTGGATCAGCAACTGGAAGACCTTTTCGTTCCCTATTTTGGAAGCTCATCCTACATCGAAAGAGAAAAGAAAAATTTGGAGGAGCTTTACACGTCACTCATGTTTAAATTTACAACTTTCCATAGTCGCAGGAAGAAATCCACAACGACATTCATGTCGTCTCTGGCGAAATCTGGCAGCGAACTCATTCACTCTGCCAGAGATGCCTATGTCAGTCGACTAGATTCCTCTGACTTCACCCCCACTCAGAAACGAATGCTGCTGCGTGTTGCTGGCCTGAAAGACAATTCAGATTTACACAAACAAAATGAAATTGAGCTTACGGAAGAAGATGGCCGCTTGAACCCCGCTTTTGCGAAGCGAATGTTGAAATGGCTTGCAGAAGGGGTTGGACGAGATCTGGAATTGGCCGTCAGCAGCGAAACGCCGAAGGATGTTTCCGCGCTTCTGAACATGCTTCTGTCTATGATGGGGGAAGGATATGTCGAGGTTGCGCTCGATGGGGCACTCGAGTCTGCGTCAAGCCAGGAATCCACAAAGACAGAACCCGACTTCTTATATTTAGGCAGCTTACGTCCTGCGATTAGTATCACACATCTCATGATGACATGTATTAACACCGTGCTTATTCCATTAGCAGCCGGAAACATTACTATCAGGAGAGATATGGAGAAAAAGGCGGCTCTAGCAGTGAACCAGATCGAGGATAAAATCAATTCTATCGAGCAGAAAACTGTAGACGTGACGTTGTCCTGGGTGTCACGACTTCTTTCTGGCCAGCGAAAGAACGATTTCCGCCCTAAAGAAAATGTCACAGATGGCGACCCGGCATGGTTGGAAATGCTGCAGACACCCGTAAGTTTATTTCTCGTGACACAACCCCTACCTGATAAAGAAATTTTGACATTAGGATCCATTTCTGACACCATTCCAGACTTGCGCCGCTATTTCCACCTTTCTCAACCGCCTACATACCACAATTCTCACTTCTCTCTCCTCGAGCGGCTCCAACATCAAAACTTTCCTCACAGAAATCGCCCTGGGTGTCCGCACCTTGCTTCTCGAGCATTTCAAGCGCTTCCCCGTTAACGGCCCCGGCGGCCTTATGGTCACCAAGGATATGACCTGCTACGTAGACTTACTGCGATCATGGGATATTGATGAAGCTGTTAAGGGCGTTGGTGGGGCGCTCGATGTTCTGCTAGAAGTTGGCAGTTTGTTCGTCGTTGGGCCTGAAGCGTTGCGAGAGCGGGTTCGGGCAGGAGCTACGAGAACTACTGGTCGGGGTGGTGCTGGCCCCGGAACAAGCAGGACAGGCGGATCCGGAAGCACGGCACAAGCCACAGCAGGATCAGGGTTGACCGTTGAGGAAGTCAGAGCCTATGTCATGAGAAGAGAAGATTCGGGGAGTGTAGGGATGCAGATTGTTTTCAATGCGTTGTGAGCATGGTTCAGTTTTGAAAAAGGTTGTTTTGGAGTGGCTCCTTTCTCTTTTTCCCTCTATATACTTTGATTCCCAATTTTCTTTTCCATCGCTTCACTTCAGTTTATAGTGAGTCGTTTAGGTGTTTCATTCCTTCATGTCCGGATCTCCCCGGTCGCTCTTCCATAGATTGGGAGTACGGAGAATATTGTATATAGTACTTGGATAGAATAAGGAATCGCCGTCGACCGGAAAACAAACTCCTTCAGCTGGCAAAAAGAGAGGTTGGACTTTAGAGGTGATTCCCACTATGTGCACGGGCCGTATACTCAGGACTCCGTCTGCCAATTGTAAGGTTACAAGAGCATACGGAGAAAAGGGGGGGAAGACATTGGAAAAATTTTGCTGCATAGCCAGCCACCTTACACCTCAGCCCAAAAGATCAAAAAACATTTCGACACTTAGTTGGTACGATCAAACCCCGTCCAGACATATGCCTTCAATTCGTGTCTCACTTAGGTTACCAGCGAGCCAAGCGTATATCTAGACAGGTGAAAGGGGTGTTGTATAATCAGTCGCTTTCACGAGGGTACACATAGCTGGTCAAGCTTATATTAATTCTATTTTCTTCTTAATGATCTTGGTAGTTTGTTATTGAAGCTTTCTCCCCCTTTCGTTTCATCGTTTCCAGGACTTTTTTCTCGACCTTGAGCTTCATAAGCCTCAAATACGCCCCAGATAAATGGAGCTTGCCTTCTGATTCAAAGACGATTACCTGCTGCAGCACATATTTCGCGGCTTTGGGTTTGCCAAGCCGAAAGCCTCTCGCCATTACGCAGTCGGCGACCAGCAGTAGCCTTCACACAAATGGACCAACTCTTCGGAACTAGGTCCTCTGGTATTCAATCCGAAAATTCCTGTTCGGTAAATTTCGAGCTATGAGAGGGTGAAATATCTCCCCATACGAAAAGACATTACGGCGCTATTTTTTTGGTGAATGAATATCACTTGAAAGATGCTGCGGCTGGTTGTTATCTCGGGCATCAAATGGTGTGCTAAAATGCTGGATAGCAAAACAGGTATGACTAAAATCTATTGGGCTTTTACCTTGGATATTCAGCATGGCTTGATATTATAGCAACTGAAATACCCATATTCGCCTCAATATCTCCTGATATTCGCGATGTTCCTCTCCTTGCATGCGAGCCTTTGAAGACCCAAAGGCGGAAACCGGGAGGAAAATGATATTTCACCCTGATGATGTAGCATCCATGGACACACCGCATTTGATACCTCTTCCGCAGGTAGTACATCCTTGCTTGGATCGACAAAAATACGGCTGTTGATTGCAAATGACCAGCGAGTATCTGCGGCAGCCTATATATCGAGACAAAGCTCAGCCAATCATTGGGAGGTCTGGAACTCTGGCAGTTCAATTGCAGATCCCTTGCACCGCAACACGTACTGCACCATAAAGTCGAGTTCGAACGCAGCGTTTTGTCAGGGCATTGGGACGAATGAATGTTCACCAGACATATATCCTGGATTTGTGCTCGTATTGTCCCAAGCAGTTGCCCCCTCGCAGAACAACGAGCCAAGTAGCTTCTCAAGATAACTAGGGCCCAGGTGTCCCTCGCTGATCCGATGGGGCTGACGGGCCAACACATAGAAATCTTCCTGCTTTGCCTCAGTAAGGGTTGGTTGCGACAATCCTAGCAAGGGAATATCGACCCAAATTTGAGACACCAACAAGTCAAGCTTTTCAAAGTTGACTCCCGGACAACATACCTTGACAATACCTCGACGAATCAAAGGCACGGCTTTTTCAGCTTTATCGAATTAACATTGCTTGGGGAGTGGATTTACAGAGGTCAACGATAAGGGATATTTATGGAATACTTCTGATCAATTTAATGCGCGCTTTAAAGGGATCACAATCCCCTAGACTTGACAGATATCGGGGGAAGTTTTTATCCACACAGTTCTTGAAGCTGTCTAGGAGTGGGTAAAACGTAAATCGATAGCTCCGGCTTATGTATGTTTTCAGTTTGTTTCCTCAGATCTTCCTCGTGTTGGCAAGGAACGTTGTCCAGTGGAAGTCGCACCTGCAACAAAATGCCAAGAGATCCACTGGCCTACTCGAGGGCATTTTGACTCGTTGAAAATGAATCACCACGAATGGGCGTTTACTATCGACCCGATACTGAGTAATATATTTCCCAAAGCGATGTTGCCTATTTCATAGGCCAGGTGTCACCAGAATCCTGATCCCAGGCCTGCGTCGGTGCCACCCGTCACAAGGACATTGGGAAAACTGGTTGTTAAGTCAGCATGAATAATAATGCGACTTTGTTGTAACCACAACACTGCCCTGAACCTGAGTCCTCCGGGTCGTGATAATCTCGTATTCTGTAGGATTAGACCCTCTCATCTTTTCCCGGATCTTCCCCCGACTTCCACCGCAGGAAGGCAAGGAGGAGGAACAGGACAGACAGGAGCAAAGACACCGT